CTAACAACCGTAACAACCCTAACCCTAACCCTAACCCAATAACCCTAACAACCCTAACCCTAACCCTAACCCTAACCCTAACCCAACAACCCTAACAACCCAACAACCCTAACAACCCTAACAACCCTAACCCTAACCCTAACCCCTAACCCTAACCCTGGGCTCTCATGCATTCGCCAGGGCTAAAAGTGATTTAAGACCATCTCCAGACAAACGTCCTGGTGTGGAATATTAACAGTGAAGACAGCCCCCGGAGCGGGGGGGGGTCGAGAAGCTCAAGTATGCATTGCATAGCCACCCTTGCCGTTGAGATCAAGGAAGCAACCAGCTTAACCAGCAGGGTTTGAGTTATTGTAAGAAAGCAGCACAGTGTTATTTAATTTGCTGTTATCGTATTAATATCCCCCTCCTCACATGGACAAGGATGGAGAAAAGGCCTTGGCGGACTCTTCTTCCTCGCACGACAAAGAACCGGACTGGTTTTGGGGAGATTACGCGCGTTGGCTTGAGCAGAGGTTGGCCTGTGTCTCTCTTTCTGAAGGTTCAGGTGTATAAGGAGACGAAGCCAAGCCCATCCTGGTACTTTGTGGGGATGATCTAGAACAGTGGCTCCCAACCGTGGGTCCCCAGGGTTCTTGAACTACAACTCCCAGAAATCCTGGCCAGCACACCTAGTGGGGTTGGGAACCACTGAGCTTGCAACCCCACATCTGCTCTGGAGACATGACTGCCATTTGCCAACACGTCCGTTGGCTTAATTAAATGCTTTGTTCAGGCTAACCTGGGCAAGGACAGAGTGGTCCTTAATATTACACAGTCGCAAGAGCAAGCAAATTCCTTTATTAGACTGCCTAAGATCTCAAACCGACAGCGAGCTTTCATGGGTCAAATCTGCTTCTTCAGGTCACACACAGATATTTTGTGGCTAAAGTGTGGAAGAATTATTAATGAGATTCCCAAACAAAATTCAGGGCAGATCTGTTTCTGATGGGTGAGCTCAAACTCTGGCTGAAAATGGCCTTTGGTACAGGATGTGGTCTCAAATTTCACACCCAAACCCATTTCCCACCCGGCTCTCCAAACAAACCACAGGTACCTCTTCCTTCTCGCGTTGCCTGCTTTTGAAACACATGGTTCCTGTTTGTCTGGGAGCATCATAGGTATCGTTCAGTCTTGAGAGACTATGGTAACATGATCTGAATCAAGGAGTGTTCTCTCCAGAGCATGAAGCCTCAGTAAAGTTTGGCGGCGGACGAAATTGGCAATTATAGGCCCGTCGCCAATGTTTCTTTCCTAAGCAAGTTGGTTGAGAGAGTGGTGGCCGACCAGCTTCAGGCGCACGTGGACGAAACAGATGCTCTGGATCCATTTCAGTCGGGCTTCAGGCCGTGCCATGGTACAGAAACGACTTCGGTCGCCCTGTATGATGACCTATTGAGGGAGGCCAACAGGGGAAAAGTGTCCCTGCTGGTCCTCCTCGACATTTCAGCGGCCTTTGATACCATTGACCACAGTATCCTCCTGGGGAGGCTCTCCGAGTTGGGAATCAGTGGCCTTGCACTGGCCTGGCTCCGTTCCTTCTTTCAGTCGGGCTTCAGGCCACGCCATGGTACAGAAACAGCATTGGTTGCCGTGTGCGATGTCCTACTGAGGGAGGCAACAGGGGCAAACTGTCTCTGCTGGTCCTCCTCGACATCTCAGCGGCCTTTGATACCATTGACCACGGTATCCTCCTGTTGAGGCTCTCCAAGTTGGGAATACAGTAAGTGGCCTGGCATTGGCCTGGCATTGGCCTGGCTCCGTTCCTTCTTGGAGGACTGTCCCCAGAGAGTGCAGCTTGGGGAGAGTGTCTTGGCCCTGTGGAGCCTCAATTCTGGGGTTCCACAGGGGTCGATTATCTCCCCAATGCTATTTAACATCTCTACATGAGGCTGCTGGGTGGGGTCATCAGGGGGTATGGAGCCTGGTGTCATCAGTACGCTGATGACACCCAGCTCTACATCTCCTTTTCGCCAACCGCAAGAGATGCCATTCTGTCCCTTCGGCGCTGCCTGGAGGCCGTACTGGAATGGATGCAGGAGAACGGGCTGAGGCTGAAACCGGACAAGACGGAGGTACTGAGGGTGGGCGCCCCCACAGTCGGGGATTTGGGAAGCTCTCTCTCTTTTGGGGGGGTGACTCTGCCCGCCAGGGATGGGGTCCGCAGCTCTTGATGTTACTTATAATAGTACATTAATTGTTCTCCATAAGTGAGCTAGCTATGATTAATACTGTATTTACATTCTTGAAATTTGGGACAAAATAGCTGGTCTTTGTTGTTGCAATGTGACTCAACACTGACCCCTAGTGTCAGACTGAAAAAAAAAAGGTAGTAGGCAATAGCACATCTTTTTAGGACAGGACTCCATAGAAGACAATCAGCTCCTGACAACGGGCATATAATCCTTCCTTCACTTTTGTGGGACTTTGGTCAGGGAGGTTGGAAAGACCTAGATTTAAATTTTATTTTTTTTAATTTATTTTTTATTTTATTTTTATCCCGCCTATCTGGTCGGGTCAGGACCACTCTAGGCGGCTATAACAAGAAGGAGAAAAATCCTTAAAACACCTCAAAGGTTTCCTATTGTGGAAGAAAAGATTATTTTATTCTAGCTATAAAAGCATTACTCAAAAATTAAGTACCCAGGATTAGAATCTTTTAAAAATATGAGACCTCTTGGTATGGGATATGAATATTAGCTTTCTAAAAGGATTGTTGAAAGTATTTTCTTTATGTAAAATTGGTTTTATATATATTGCTGTATGTTTTACTGTAAGCCGCCTAGAGTGGTCTTAACCGACTAGATAGGCGGGATATAAATAAAATAAATAAATAAAATAAATAAAAAGTAGTATGGAGGATAGGCTGTTACCGAAGCAGCAGATTCCACCCCCTCCACATTGCTGAAATAGTCCAATGGAAAGGCAAGAGCCAATACAACTGGTTCCAGCAACGTCGCAGGAGTTGGCAGAACGACGCAAACTGCCTTCGGGACTCCAGTTCCTCGGGACTCCAGCTCCAGAACAGGGAGCTGTGGAAAAGGAGGAGAGAATTCCCTTTTGGTTGCTTGGAAAATTCAAGCTAAACTCTACCAGGGTGAAGCTTAAGACCACGTCCTGCCCCAAAGGTCATTTGCAATTAGAATTTGAACTCGCCTCTCAGAAGCAGACTTGACACAATCACCGGCCACGAATGTTTGGGCTTTTCATTTATAACGTTTTTCTGCCTTCTCCACAAAATATCTCTGTATGGCCTGAAGAAGTGGACACATGAAAGTTTGGAGACGGTTTGATCTGGTTGAGTGGCCTTGCTAGCTGGATTGCTCAGTGGATTTGGTCTCCAGGTTGGGAGTTCGGTTCCCCCACCGTGGGCCTCCTGGGAGAAGAGCCAGCCCAGGGAGCCTTGGGCCAGCTGCACCATCCCAGGATGCCCCCTAGAGGAAGGGAAGGGTAATCAACCACTTCTGATTGTTCTCTTGTTCCTTTGGGAAGACAGGACACTAGCCTTTGCCGGATGTGCTTGGTAACTCCCGAGGTACAGAGGTGGTTGCAGTCTACCTTCCATGGCTGGTTTGAACCCTGGCCTCCAGCTCAGTGGGTTGGAGTTCCTTGAGGCAGAACCACGGGCTGAGACTCCAATTTCCCAGAAATGGCAGCACGTGTGGCCTGGTGTAGATTTCATGGTGCCAGAGAGACCAGAAAGAAGAACTCTGAGCCCGGCATGCCTCGAAAACCCCGCGAAGGCTGCTGTAACCTGGAATCGCTGTGGCCCAAAATTGCTACAGCTCTCCTAGCCCAGTGGATTGGCGTCTCCGAGGCCCAGAGTTCAAATCCCACAGAGCCTACCAGGAAAAGGGGCAGCCAAGAGGACCTGGAACATGCAGGAGTGATGGGATTTGGTGTTCTTCTACCTGGACAGCCACAGAAAGCAGCCCCGTGATCCCAGAGCAGCCCCAGAAGGAAGGGCCCCAGAAGGAAGAGCAGCCCCATAGGTAAGGTCTGGCAAACCACTTCTGAGGGCTTCACCCTTTGAAAATTCTAGATTTAGAATTCTAAACCTGGATTGATTGGATGATGATCGCCATCATCATAACTGGATTTCCTGCCGTCCTAGTAATCCCAAGGGCTCGATGCTGCTGGAGCTCAGTCTGGGAGGAGGGCAATAACTGCTGGAGGTTTTTGCAACCTCGCTTGTTGCCTTTAGTGGGAGGGACCTTTCTGGACTGGGGTGACTATCAATCTGTCCAGCACTGGCCAATTGGTTTCCCTCCTGCCTCTGATTTCAAAGAGAGCCCCGCCTCTCTGCTCTGACTCTCTTTCCCCCTCTCCGTTGTCTCTTGGAAGTCAGTGAGTCTGTTGCAGCCTGTCGTTGGCAGCAGTCATGTGTTGTTACATTGCTGTTTCATCTCTTCAGAACGGTAAGTAAAGAAAATGTTTTTCATTTTCTCTGCTTCAAATACCTTAGATTGAGTTATTGAGACTATAAGTGCCAGTTAAGGAGAAAAAGGGGTGGACTGTTCTCGGGAAGTTGAACCTAATTCTGCTCTGTGAATCCCTGCACTTCTGCTATGCAGCTAAAGGAATTTAAGCAGAATTCAATATTCTGCCACAACAAAGTAACTCTGAGCTTAGACGATCAGGAGCTTCTTCCATTACAAAGTAACTTTTAAAAATAACTACACAGTCTTCATAAAGGAACTTTTTGAAAAGTAACTAGTTAAGTAACTAGGTCATTTGGAATTGCTTACTTTCAAGTTCTGTGAGATATCATAAATAATGTTTTTAATATTTACATGCCATCCAAGAAATCCCCTGGTGCTCACTGAGAAAGGTTGCTGGTAGTCCTATTCCAGACTAAAATAAGAAATTTGCTGTATATTTTTTCCCAAATATAGTGAAAAGGCACAAATGCCTAGTAAGATCTGGAGGTGGAAGACAAAGCTGTGTAAAGCTGCAACCTGTTTATCTGAATACATACATGTTTATTTTCGTTAAAAACATGGCAACGGGTCTCAGCCAGAGGATAAAATATCAAACTCTGAGGGCACCTTCACCACTCAAGGATCTGCACTCAGACCATCTGTGATCTTTGGTGTCTGATGGCTGGATTGATGGGGAGTTAAAGTTTGATAAGCAGAGCATCACAACATGGCCAACACTCTGTGGCTGAGCATATAGGAGTTCTGGAAATGACACTTCAAAAGAGTAACTTTGCCAAACAGTACTCAGCATGGCATAGTTTTTTCTGTGCAGTGGGTGTCGGGGTAAAAGATGTATTTTTTGTTGTACGAGTCCAGATTGTCTCGGAAGCAGACGGCAGCTGTCTTGTCACATTCACAAATCTGGGTCTCACACTGGCTCCCATTTCCTAGGAGAAAAAAAAAACCCACAGAAGACACTTTAATCTCTGACCCTCATTCAAGATGCTAAACTCAGCATCTCTGGTTCTTCCCCTTTGTGGATAGCAATCTTAGGATTATTCCGCTGAGAGGGGTCGACGGATGTACACAGTGAAACATTTCATGTTTCTTTCATTTTGTGTTTTTTTTTGGGGGGGTGCATGCCTTTTTGCAGTAGGACACCTGTATCCACGCGATCACTATCCTCTGATTCACTTATCCACTGCCTGAAAACATTTAAAATATTAAAAGAAAAATCCTGAAAATATATCTGTTTCTAACAATTAAGTTACTAGAACTGTCCACTAGAGGGTAAAACCCGAAAGGAACACCACCACCACCACCCCGGACTTGGCCAGACCAACCTCATTCATTTCTTCCCCGAGAAATGAAAGGATTTGCTACCTGTTCCGACTGCCCCCCTCCCTCCCTAGAAAGCTTTTGACTGCAGCATCTGCTTTGTTTTCCTTAACAGTATGGCTGGCCATGTGAGGCAGGACTTGAACCGGGGTCTCTCAGGCTGTTCGTTAGGCATCCTTCAGTCTTGAGACACTATGGTAACGTGCTCTGTATGGAGGACTTGGAACAGTGTCTAGTGTGGCTGAGAAGGCCAATTCGAGAGTGACCATCCTTTCCACACTGAAAATAAATCCAATCTGCCCCCCTGTCCAGCTCCCTGATTTGGCTGGTTTCGGGATGGCCTCTGGGCTTCGGCCTGCTGGACAAGGGTCTCTTCAAAATGGGGGAGGCCATGCTGCACCGCCTGCCTCTAGGCTGAACGCTCGGATATCAGGGTTTCTCATCTGTTGAGGTCCATTCCTAAGGCCTTCAGATCCCGCTTGCATATGTCCTTGTATCACAGCTGTGGTCTCCCTCTGGGGAAATTTCCCTGCACTCATTCTCCGTACAGGAGATCCTTTGGAATCCGACCATCAGCCATTCTCACGACGTGCCCAAGCCAACATAGACATCACTGTTTCAATAATGTATACATGCTAAAAATTCCAGCTCATTCTAGGACTACTCTAGTTGGAACTTTGTCCTGCCCGGTGATACCAAAAATGCGTCGGAAGCAACGCACATGGAAGATGTTCAGCTTCCTCTCCTGCCGTGCACAAAGGGTCCAGGACTCGCTGCAGTGCAGGAGTGTGATCAGGACACAGGCTCTATAGACCTGGATCTTGGTCTATGCCGTCAGCTTTATTGAGCCATACTCTCTTTGTGAGTCTTGAGAACATGGTAGCTGCTTTGCCAGTGCATTTATCCAGCTGAACATCAGAGATTGTTCAGCCAAGGGACAGATCATAGTGGAAAGTTCCAACTAAATATAATCCACCTGGAGTAGGAAATTGGCAATGCCACTCCAGTATCTTTGCCAAGAAAGCCCCATGACCAGAAACAAAAGGCTAAAAGATATGACACTGAAAGATGGGACCCTCAGGTCGGAAGGCGTCCAACATGCTACCGAGGAAGAGCGGACGACAAGTACAAGTAGCTCCAGAGCTAATGAAGTGGTTGGGCCAAAGCTGAAAGGACACTCAGCTGTGGATGTGCCTGGAAGTGAAAGGAAAGTCCAATGTTACAAAGAAAAATACTGCATAGGAACCTGGAATGTAAGATCTATGAAGCTTGGTAAGCTGGATGTGGTCAAACAGGGGATGGCAAGAATAAACATTGACATCCTGGAACTCAGTGAACTAAAATGGATGGGAATGGGCGAATTCAATTCAGATGAGTATCATATCTACTATTTTGGGCAAAAAGCCCGTAGAAGGAATGGAGTAGCCCTCACAGTCAACAAAAGAGCGGGAAAAGCTATAATGGGATACAATATCAAAAATGATAGAATGAGGTCAATACGAATCCAAGGCAGACCTTTCAACATCACAATAATCCA